TATGTAAAAACTAATGATCGCAAATTATGCTTTATAGCATTATGCCTTATTTTTCAGATTCATAATATTGTATAATAAGTTGCCAAAATGAAACTATAATATAACAGCAAAAAATAGAGATGTTTTACTTCATTAAAAGAAGTAAAACTTAATTGTTTTACTTCATCATTGTTCATTATAATTTCAATATATTACCATCATTTTAATGAAATTTAGCAATGATATGATGTATTAAAAAAAATCATTGAAAAATTCTCAGATCTCAGAGTTAAAAATTTTCTATAGAAACTGATCTCAAAATCGCCAAATTTAGAACCATTTAATACAGGAATTCATATCCCCAAAAGCTGTTTAAGATTTCTTTATTAGAAAAAATGAATTTCGAAATGCTTATGTTTCACTTCTTGCTCAGAAATTCGAGTATTATTTATATAGAATAGAATAACCCATTCAAAAGATAACCATATGTGTCAGTGAATCGCCAAAAATATTCCTCCAAAATGCTAATTCACACTCAAAATGGCAGTCATAAAAAACAGACAGAAATTTCAGATGATTAAAAATTAAGGACCTTCTGCTGATTTTGGCCAAAAAAAAAATAAGGACCTTTTAAAGACCAAATATAGATTCCAAAAATTTAAGTTTTAAGGACCATACGAATCCTATTGGTCCTCGATAGAAATAAATTCAGACCATGCTTGACGTAGTTTGCAGTTGCTGATGACAGTATTTTTTCTTTATTCTTAAGAATTGTCCTTATGTTGAAGTTGCCAAAATCAATGCGCAATTAATTTGAGATTGACGTTCACCAGAATCTAATCTTCTAATCACTTGCATTTGAGTTTTCCAGCGAAATGCTTTTCTGGTTGCTTTCTTTCTTGTTTTTTATTATCACCCATGATAAAAACTAAAGATCATAATATTTGTCACTGTTATTAATCGTTATAGTATTATTAAATTTAAACTTACAATAATGTCAACAAATGTTTCAAATGATAAAAAAATGCGTCCACCAAGCAAGAAAAACAACTACACTGTTTCGATATAAAATTTTGGAAATAAATCTGCACACCTCGGAGAATCCCCGGGTTAAATAAAAGAGCGCTAAACCGAAACAGCGCTAAACAAAACAGCGTTAAGCGGGGTCTTACTGTATTATCAAAATTTTAAAAAAAGCTGGCTCTGTATCACCTTTTTCAAGTAAATTTATTTCAAACTTGTTATAAACTCAATAATTAAATAAGAATATTTTATGATACCTAATTCTGCCACACATACAGGAAAAGTCAGATTTTCAGCAGCTGTAAATTTCTAGAATTGGACTTCAAACAAGCCAATTCAAGCTAACAGCTAAAAGATATTGATTATAAAAAAGGCTACAATTATAAACAGCATGTGCAGAAATTTTAGGCCCAGTTCACATTTGTCAAGATTTGTATTAGACCAATTCTCCTGCCCTTCCCTAAGGGAGAAAAAGAGAACAAAATCCTAAAATGGTAAATTTATGCTCAGAAAAATAGTCAAATTTGAAGCATTATTTAATACACCAATTTTTAAATTCATAGGCATAGAAATAATTTTAAAAAGAAAGAGGATTGCGATAAAAATTATCCTCTTTGAATATAATACCCAATTAATAATATATTCATGAGTTAATTAAAAAAATTTCATTTCATTATGTGATGCTTTAACATATTGAAGGATCTGCTATGCTATGGATCACTAATAAATGTTATGTGTGCAATATAAAAACAAAACTACAAAGTTTTACTGGCACCAATACTTACTACAAGATCCCAATTAAAACATTATATTTAACTTGCTAAAGTCTCCTAAAGGAAACTACATTTTACAAAATCGTTACCATATACAGGATGACTATTCTTTATACAAAATTCTCCAAATTAATTTATAACTGGAAACAAATGTTTACAGTAACTACATCCATGAAACCAGAACCCAATTTTTTCAGATGCTCTGTATGTAAACCACAATACTTAAAAAAAGTTATCACAAATATTTAATCAAGCTGTATAAAAACAGATACAGAGTTTCTAAATTAAAATCGACAGAAGCAAATATAACTTTAAGTTGCACACATTGAGTAACAAATATAAGCATAACTTAAATAGGCATTAAAATATCAATGAGTTATCATTAAAACAAATTTTATCAGTTTTGTCTATATTAGGCATTTCTGCTTTTATTCTCCTTTTATCTAGAATATTCCAGTCCAAAAAGTTACAACAGTTCTTATTCATCTCTGTCTAAAACAACTGTTTGGTATTTTCCAACTTCTTGGTCTAACAGACGTTTCTATTTTCAGAAAAAGCATTTAGAAAATTATCACCTAATTCCATTATGGTTTGTTTAGTAACAGAAAATATTTTTCAAAATACATTTAAACATTTTTAATGGGTTACTCTTTCAACAATTCCTCAAAATTTGTGCTCTCTTGTATTAATAAAAATTAACTGTGTGCATTAATCTTCAATGTGCATGAAAGTTACCTGTCCATACGATGAATATAGTACACAACAAAAATTATGAGTATCACTTTCTTAAATTCGGAATTTCCAAGTTTGAGAAAGTAATTAATATTGAATATTTGTACCATAATCTTTCCTTTGTGTACAGTAATTTAATACATAACAATCAATTTAAAAATCTACCAAATTTTAGGCCAGTTGACCAATTCATTTTGTTAATTACTATCATCGTCATACCCCTTTTATTACTTCCAGATTTAACATCTGTTCACCTTCTTATAATTTCAAGAATAAAACTCATTTCTTAATTACCTTATACAGTTCATATAACACAACTCTCTTCTGTTTCTACCAAATACTTGGTTAATTTATTGGAATATGTAAAAGCTGGCGAAAACTGTCTGCATAAAGGGTGAAAGACTGTATACAGAAAAGTAGTGCCTATTCACATTACATACATGGAAACCAGGAAAACCAACAAGAATATAGTTAGAACTATAATATGGATTTTAATTACTTGAAACAAATCTTTGTATCTCTACGAGTCATAATATTTAAAAACTGCATTTGAACAATTTTTTTTAAAAAATTTTCTAAGCACCTCATGCTATTTTCAGATGTTTTCCTTACCATTTATTAAAATGGACATTATATATTCAAATAAAAAGAAATGCATTTAATATAAAAAGCTTTATGCGAGGATTATAAATACCAAAGAAAAGTCTTTTTCTGCCTCAAAACAAATGCTTGCTTGTCTAACTTCCAGTCTGATTGGTTTTATTTAACTACAGCTGAAAAACTTTCTATAGGAAGAAAATTAGCTTTAACTCAACATAGTGGTGAAACTACTTTGCTACCTTAATGATACTACCAGTAATCAAACATTCTGTACCAATACAGCATTATAAAAATCTGATGTGGATATTCCTCATGTGGCCTGTTAGCAAATTCTTCTGCACTTCCTAAATTCAAATCTTTACGCTTAGTTAAAAAGAGTATAAAACTTTCCCAAACTTACAGAAACTGGGAGACCACACAGAAAGTCAGATTTCATTATTTGCTGAAAATTAATTTTTTAAAAATCTGACATTGGCAAAACATGAATAATTTCATCATTTAAAACACTCCTATAATTGGAAGTGTATGAGTACAACCAACAATTGTGAAAATAAAGGCCAGGTATGGACTTCAGAGCTAGATATAGGAGTGGGCTTTATATACAATACATCTGGGTACTGCTGATGGCAAGAAAGGAAGGCACACAACTAATGTTATAGCTATCTTATTTATAAAATCTAAACATTCTGCAGCAAATCATTTTTGAGTTACGTGAGATATATATGTAGATATTGCAGAAAAAGGCCCTTTTGAATCCATTTTGAAAAGGTATTTTGTCCTTACATATTGAACTCGGACAAAAAAAATCACCCAAACAGATTCGGGAAAGGTCAAAATGAATATTTCCATTGAACCACAATATCTGAAATTTTTCCACTAGTACAAAACTTGCTTTACTTCTTACAAGAAAGTAATAAGAAGAAAAAATAGCCTTTGTAGACACATTACGAAAAACATTGCAATAAAACCTAATACAGTAATAAAGATTTCCTAAAATAACTGAGAGAAGCTACACCTCTTAATGTGTGCTAATTTTACTACAGGAAACACTAACACACATTAAGAGAGTTTCCTTATTACTTTTAACTGAATCTTTGATATTTATTTATACTGTTAAATTCTATTAACAAGCATCTAATTTCTTACACTAAAATAATGCATATTTTAAAAAAGTAATATTATATAAAGCTGTATACATTTTGCTTTCTAACTACATATGCATAACAGTAAAATAAACATTTTTTAGCAAAAGTGAAGAAATGAGCTCTGAATATCTATTAATCATGTGATAAAATTTTCAAAACACTTTTATATCCTAATTAAGTAGAGAAAAAAGAATTTCTCTACTTTTCCAACATTCTCAAGTATCTCATCGACATTCATTCTTTTCAACCTGAATGTTAAACATGTTCAGAAAATTATTAGAAATCTATATGATTTTCCTATAAAATTGAATTATGCAAATAAAATCTTAACTTTCATTGCTTTATTTCACAAAAGAAAGTAAAATCATTCACTAACTAAAGCACACATTAATTTCCGACAAATGTTGAAATTTAACTTTTAACACAGTCTGCTGTTCCTATATTTGGAAGTTTTAAACTCATTACGACAAAATAAAAATACAGGAAGTTTGATTCCCCTACCACAAAAATCGACCAGGATATTTAATTTCAAATTTTGCAGTTTTTGATGTCATTTTCAAATTACCTTGAGGGATCAGAAAATTTCAAGGAAATGAGTTTAAATGAAGTGCAGCAAAAGAATTACAATTATACAAAGAATACAAGATACTCACAATTTCCATATGATAATTTTTTAAAAGCAACTTCCCAACTTAACAATTTCTTCCATACCTATATAATTAGCATTATTTAAAAAATAAACACGACATTTCTGAAAAAATACGATTGTTTATTAAATATCAAATTAAAAATACCTAAGAGTTTTTATAAAGTCAACATTTCGTTGATTTTTATTTATTTTATTCTGAAAGTCATCTGTAATCAAATTTTAAAATTGACAATTCCATTAATTTTTTTAATGGAAATCACCAAGCAGTTCTTCAAACATGAGCCAAAAAATACAACAGTAAAAATATTGTAAAAATGTATTTTAATCACCTGCTGGAAGCTATAATTTACAAATTACCTTCAGAAACAAAGTAATTAACTATTTCCTTCCCACCACACACACTGAAATTAAAATCTCAGAACAAAAATATATATATCCATGGAAATAAAACTAATAAATAAACTTGACAAAAATTTCACATTAATGGTTATGGAATTTTTATCTTTTAAAATGCACGATTAAATTTCAAATCTACATTACATTTTTTAACATGAGCACAAAGAAAACATAACATAATTATACAAACATATATTTGCAGCGTTAAACAACTATAATAACACTTATATTTCCAATATTTCCAGAAAAATAAACTTCTAATTTAATACCACTAAATTCAAAAATGCAATATAGTATCACGATAAAATAATGAATTTAGAATGCTTCCAACAGATTAGAACATATTAACATAAAAATTTATAATATAACTGCATTACATATGCAGAAAAATACTGCTATGCTTGCTTTACAAAATACCTTCTATTCTACTAAAAAAAAAAAAAAAATTACGATAAATACAGCAAGAAAATATTTACAGTGTTAACTATATACAAAAATGAGAATCCTCGACATGAGGATCATAGCCGATTCATCTGTACTCAGTACATAATCCAGTTTCTTGTAGCTTTCAGCACATAACATCACTTAACATTCATACATTCTCATCACAATTCACATACAAGTATTCAGATTCTTGGACATTGAGAGTGCAGTTCGATTTTTACTAAAACTTCAACCTATTTTTTAATTCAAGGTAAAATTTCCTTAAGAGTAGCTTTCACACTATCTGATAAGTATTCAGGGAATTTAATTTCAAAAGCTACAATTAAGTCTCCTTTTTTTGAAGGATCTTTTGGTAATGGTAGTCCTTGACCCTGGATTCTATGGACAAAATTTGGCTTTATAATGTCCTTGATTCTAAGAACTCTTTTTTCACCAGACAGACTAGGAACTTCTATTTTGGTACCACACAACGCCTGCAAAAGAAAAAGTTAATGTATTTTCAAGTACACATAACTCAAAAGTATTCCACCTAAACATTATACAAAATATTAGATGGTCAACTTCTATACACACATAAATGTCAATACAATATATACTGGTTTTGCATGGCATATCATCTAATGTGTGTCAAGATAGCATTTTTAAAGTTCAACTGAACATTCAAGCAGCACTCAACTCAAATCTGCAACAATAGCACACCTTGGAAATGTATTGGGAGCTGCTCCAATGTGACAGCCCTCTTGTTTATTTCACATGCATGAAAACATTTCGTGCTTTCAGTAGTGGTTCAAAACTCATTATATCCTCCGCTACATCAGCTCTGAGAGGTGGGCCTTCATGTTCGAGAAGCTTTACTACATTAGTTTGCAAATATCACTCCAAAAGTTAAAATAATCAATGAATGTTAACTTTTAAATGCAACCTTCATTAATCAAGAATTATTTTGGCTTAAACAAGGTAATCAATCTTATATCCAGAATGAAAATGAACAGATAACTTTAAAGTTTTGTAATGATAAAGAATTTTAGGACAGGATGAGTTCTAGAATTATTTTTAACAAATAATTTTACAACAAAAAATATTTCTCATTATTTTATAAACTCAGTTATTAAATACACAACTAAAAATTCAGTTTTCTACAAAGAAAAAAATATAAATAAATACATGATGGTTAAAATTTGTCCATTTTTTAGAACATACTACAGTCAAAAGTCTTAAAGCCTAAGCATACATTACCCATAGTTAAAATTAGAAAATTGCAACCAGAAAACTATTTGATGTGTATTCGTGATATTTATAATGATGAGGAATTTTATTTAAATCATATCAGAGTAAATAGAGATGAAATACTACATTTAGTAAGGAATTATGAGCCAAATAAAATAAAAACATCTGCTCTGAAGATAAGGATAGTGCTGACAAATCAACTTCCTGTTAATTGCGGGCGGGCGGATGCCTCTTTGTTTAATAAACTGTCAGTATTCAAGCAGCTTCATAAAAGGCTTTTGATTTCTACTATTTTGTTAGGCTCTCCCATTTTAAGAAATGCTCTGTTTAGAGCACCATGATTAAAATCTAACTGTTCCAATTCATTAATATTTTGTTGGCACATTTAGTTTTGATCATATCATATGCTCATTAATTAATACAGCCCTTTTTTTTATGGTAGGATACCAGAATGAAAATAATCCACTGTTCTCTATTTTGTAAAAGCTAAGTCTCAAATTTTGATGTTTTTTTTTTTTTTTTTTTTTAATTAAAAGAAAAAAACTAGAAGTAACAGCTAATTTATAGCTTTATTCATGAAAACAACAAATGAAAGCACATATATTATTATTTGTGTTATTATGCCATGCTCACCCATAGTTAGTAATATATTGTGCTGTTTGGTGACAGATAATTTGGATACATAAGGAAAGTCAGATATCAAATTTCAAGAAAGAGTGACTTAATATTTTACAAACTTGTCGGCCAAGCACCTTTTTACATACAGAAAAAAATCACTGCTGGATAATTTCCAGTCATCTCATGGAAGATATTAAAAAACAAAACACACAACAAACACTATTCCACACATCAATTCCGAGGGCTTGCATCACTTCTGCAACCACAGGACGTATCAATGAATACACTTCAGAGATACCTCTGAAAGTTAAATAACAAGGCTATGTCAGCAGGATTATACACAATGTCTCAAGAAAAACTAGAAAAATCCAGAAACCTTCCACTGAATGGATTTTAAGATGCACAAAAACTGGTGCAATAACAATGAAAAGCTTCAAGAAAATTGAAATATCCAATGCTCTTGATGGTTCTAATGATCCTTGCATACATGAAGAAAGACTGAATGACAATAAACATAACAGCAATGATGGCAACAACTTGCGAGGAATGGATTATTGTAATGGAAATCAAGTTTTACTATCAAAATAGGCTAATTACTTGTCAATCCATAATAATGCTCAATGAAATCCAAATTAAAATTACATAACAAAGTTAACAAAATAATTTGATGATAAACTGCAAATCATATGTATTGCAAAATTTGGGATTGGCATTCATTGATAACTTCAGGATATAAAAATGATAATGTTACACCGATTTCATTATCCAAATTTAATGTATTTCTCACATTGTGAAAAAACGACGACACTATAGTCATCAAATTCTGAATAACATAGTCCTCCACCCAAATGTGGACATCAGGATGCCCAACTCTTGAAATTAAAATTTGTTTTATTGTCTATTTCATATTTCTTAAAACTTAAACAATTTTTTTTGAGAAACTCAACAATTTAAAAGCAAGCAGTGGCAACACACTGTATGGAATAAAATATTTTTAGCCCAAATATTCTCAAAACGTGTAGTTTCGATACAGGATTTTTTTTTCTTTTTTTTTTTTCTTTTTCCAAATCACTAAAATCTGAAAGCTTTTAGATTTAAGCTTTTTAACTATTATCTTTTTATTTATTACGTTGATCAGTGACAAAAATCTGATCTCGGTCATTCTTCTTACAATTTCACGACAAGCAGGTTATATAATTTCTTCAACTAAATTATGAGGTTTTAATTTAATAGCAATTTTATAAGAAGCTACCAGGGCTTTTCCAGATACCATTAAATTGCTTTTCAAAAACCTTTACTTGTTTAGATGTCACAAATAATGATTTTTGAAAGTAGCCTTTTTTTCGTTTGATAGGATGATGTAGGAGCATGCTTGGAACCACAACACAGTTTCATAGTTTACAATAACGCATATGGAAATTGTAGGATCACTTTCCACTGTAGACAAATCTATATTTTAAAAGGTCATTATACTTGCAATGAATATAATATTTTTTGGCACAGGAAACATAGTTGTACTGGGGTTGGACTCATAACCCCGACTGTTAGCATTATTATGGCTAATTTTTTTTTCCTTAACCATTTTACTTTTCTTAAAACTTTTCTCAAGAAATTATTAAGAATGATATATATTACCCTTGAACCATTTTAATTAAGTCTGATAGCACAATATTGTGATATTGCACATACAAATATACAAGTTATAACCTAATCCTCACACATCAAGTAGGCAACTAAGTATGGTTGTCACTTCGATGAACATTAGCGTTCTTTCTTTCATTTGATTACAGCGCTGCACATAATGGTATATGGCAAAGGAAGGGATGCTTCATGATAACTTAATCCATATTATACACATGGGAAAAATTATGGAAATGCCTATATAGCCAGCCCATTCACCAGGATTTAAACCTCAGGCCAAACTACCAGTATTTAGAGACTTACTACCACTAGCTTAGACTGCTCAGCTAGTGGTAGGCTGAATTTTAGCATTGGGAATAGGAAGAAATAAGAGGGGGGATATTATCTCCTCTCACCAGCAGATCTTTGATTTTTCTGTTGTGGGGCAAAAGCTAAAACTGCCGCCCTCAACCATCATCCTTTAAGTTTCTCAAACAAGTTTTAATTTAATAAATACAGAAATAGATAGTGTTTGAGGTAAAAACCTAAGATCCATTTTATACTAAATTCTTTACGCTTTTTTTTTTTTTTTTTTTGGGTTGTTATAAATAAAGAAAAAATACGCACCAAATTTACATAATTACAAAACTGTCCCCTCCTAGGAGAATCCCCTTTCTGGTGAGCTTACTTTCGGATTCAATCCTAATTCTAACTCTAATCCTAAGTGCTTCTAACCCTCCAGTCCTTGCCACCATTCGTTTTTCCACTCTAGGGGAAACAGGCATAAGCTTCTCACTATTCTGTATTATTGCATACTGGTTAAATTAGGTTAAGTTAGATTATATGAATAAGGCAAAGACAAGAAGGCTATCTGCTTGGAGGAGAGGTGCTTTCGTGGAGGAACTTTTTAAAGGAAACTAACTGGCTCGTATTCACGTTACACACGAGGAAATCTACGAAAACAAATGATGCAGTCAACACGTTCTTCTGGGTTTGAACCCAGACAAGGTCAAACTACCAGTATTCAGCGGTCTTAATCACTCCACTACTGAGGACATTTGTTTGATTATTTACTATGTGTTTTGCCATTAGACACTGCATGGAAAAGGAGGTATGCCCCGTGGGAAAGAATTTGTAAGGAAAACTGGCTTGTATCTATGTTGCACACGGGGAAATATCACAGAAATGCTCATACAGCCAGCCTATTCATCTATACTTGACCCTCGGACCGAACTACTACTGATCAGCGGCTTTAACTGCTCAGCCACTAATGGGGCCATTGTAAATATTCTGAAAATATGGGCTATTGGAGAATATTCGTGCTTCCCGTCTTATTTTTCATACTTCCTATTTCATAAGTAATATTAAGTTCTTGCATTCCTTAATGCTATTAAAATATCACGAAATTAGTAACGAAAATTAAAATTTTAATCTGCAAGCCTTTTGTTCTGCAAATAACTGCACGGAATCTTCAGGTTGAAGTGTTCGTGATTCGTCCTTAAACAGTTCATCAGATGATTGCTTTTTGAGCTTTGGAATTCTTTCTTTGTCAGAAAAGACTCAAATGCAATTTTTTCGACTACTGTTACTGTTTTAGACTCTTCCATATAATATTCCACAAGATTTTTCTCTCATTTTTTATAATTCATCAGTTTTTGGTCAGTTCTTTCGTAACTACACAGAATGCGGAAGAGGAATTCCTTTTGAATTTCTTCTGGAAAAATATTTGCTCAAATTTTCAAGTTGATAGTAAATTCAAAATTTTTTACAGCATGTCCCAGATGTCCTACCTCATGCTTTGATTCCGCATCAAGAGAAATATCTTTAATTTTTTGTAAATATTTTAATATTTCCGGTAAATTCATTAGAAGTACTTTCACAGCCACATATTTTGCCGACCATCTCGTCTGGCTGCTTCCTTTTAAGCTTTATTTTGTAATTTTTTCATAATATACCATTGAGTAGTACATCCGACAAAAAAGCGAAGTATTTTCTAAGTAATTCCAGACAGACTAACTGCTTCTGAGCACGAAGAAGCAGAATGCACGCCGGCAAGATAGGAGGAGTGAGCCAAACATGGCACAAATTCCTCCAGCTTATTCATTTCTGTAATCCTAGCTTGTACTGATTTAGAAATGCTAGCTATATATTAGACCCGTTGTCGTAAGACTGATAAAGACATTGTCCAATATCTAAACCATCAAGTGTCAATTAAGATACTAATTTTCGACAATGCATTCAGAAATACATTCTCCTATCTTTCCACCAACTTCTATGAAATCAATTAAATTTTTGTTTATCTCACACACATCACCACACGTTTTTACATTTGAATCACCTGGTTAATTTTTTCCATACGAGACACATGGAGTGCAATTGAGCATGAT